TTGTTCAGCGTTGCACTTATATAAATATATAGGAGTGTGATTGATTATTTGAATGATATATATTACTATATTCTTAAATTCAATATGTAAAAATATGTGGTTAACTACGAAATTCATTTAGTTATAATTTGTCATATTGTTCATATTTGAGATCATGTGATCACTCATCTTGATTTTCTTTTAAGATTATGTTTTGAATGGAAAAAGTTATGCTCTCAGATTTGGTTTTAAAAGTTGCGGTATTTCCTTACTGAATTAACATGTTATATATATATAAATATATTATTCAAGTAAGGAATTAATTTGGGGATATTTTATAATTAAGTATGATATAAATTATCACTCTCTTACTCGCATTATTTTTCTCCTTAGTTTGCATTACTATAACTCACCAATAGTGAGTATAGTGTTGGGAATTTACGTGTTAATTATACAATAAAAAAAATTATGTTGGTGATGAAATAGCAGGAAAGATTTTTTCCTTATATCATTTCAAGAAATTTGTCACGGAATTTATTTTTCATTAATCCGTAATTAATTGGTGATGAAGTAGTGTAAAAATAAAATTGTAATTAATCTATAATAAAATAGTTAAAAGATTAATATTTTTTAATTATTCTAACTTAATAGGAAAATAAAGTAGTTATAATTATTTGTTATCACTAATATCTAGCTATCAGAGTAATTGAATGAAATATTTCTTTGTTGAATAAATTGATAAAGTTAGGAATATATTCTCTGTGATAAATTTGAAATTCCCTTAAGTCAAATTTTTATTCTTCTTAATTTACCACTCATGTATTAATGTATAAATATACAATGTAGAATTTAATTAATAAATTGATTAAATATCTATTTAATTCTATTTTTTTTTAAATTATGTTAATAATGAATAATTATATAATTAAATAAGATAGCTATATATGAAATATATGAGTCAAAACAAATTTAGATTTTGATGGGAGACTAATGATGGTAAAAGGAGGATAGTTTGGCTTAATTGGAAGGATAATGTTATCCAAAGAGTCGTGGAAGTTTAGTTGTGAAAGATGTGAAAATATTCAACGAAATATTGTGAACCAAATGGGAGTGAAATATTTGCCGTTGTGGAGGTACTTCATGTTGTTCAATTGTAGAAGCAAAATATGGGGTTGGAGAGATCTACAAAATATAGTGGAAGTACATTAGGAAAGTATGTGACCACGGAAACGAATCTAATTAGTTTTGAAATATGGTATCATGAAAAAACAGGGGATGAGAATAACATAAACTTTTTGTTTGATAAGTGGAAAAGAGAAGAATGTTTGACTTTAACAATCCGAAGGTTTTTCATTAATTCAAGAAAAAAACATGAGGTACTATAAAGAATTTTTTATTCAAAACAAATGGAAATGGAACTTGTTTAAGGAGTATTAATCGTTGGATAAGATGACTTGTTTATATGTTTTCATTTCTTATGCATGTATTATGGAGTATTATTTTGTATATGTGAAACTAAATGAGTCATAGACATAATAATGATGTTATTAAGTGGGAAAAGTAAATTTAATGGTTTGGATCATAGTGTTTTTTGTAATGCGTGTGGATACATGGGATGTCTACATTTGGCAATTTTAAGAGGAACATGTTAGATGGAAACTGGTGCATAACAATGTGCACATGTCTTAAAAGAACATATTTGGATTAGTTTGGTCCAATTCGAGGAAATCTTGTCATATATTTTTTGTTATTTAATGTTACATGTTATAAGAACAATGGCTGTATTTGTAAGCAAAGCAGGGTATATATTAGGAAATATAAGTATGATTTTAAGTCTTATATTATATAAGAATAAGAAAATGAGCAACATATAAGAAAGTATGACTCTTAACCTAATGCTTTAAGGTTTTAGGTTGAGAATGATATCAATCCCTTATGTGGATTGAGCTCGTTATCTCATTCATGTATTTTCCCTAGGGATGACAATTAAACATGTATCCGTGGGGACCGACCCGTCTCCGTCTTGAGTTTGATAGGGAAAAATCGAGTTGATCGGAGGTGGGGATGGGTAATGCAATTCTTACCAGGTCTTGTCTCCGTCCTCGCGTCGACTTTATATTTAAATTTTAAAATAGTAATATTTTAAAAATATTTTCTTTTCTTTTTCTATTACATATAAGATAATTTTTTTATATTTCACCATTTTTTTTCTACCCTCTTTTTTAATTTTTTTGTTTTTTTAATATTTTATATCAACTAGTTTATTACATTATTTTCTTTCTCTTGTCTTTTAGTTTTTCATATTTCCTTAATCTCTCCAATTAATGTTTTTTTTTCAATCTTTTCAACCAATTTGATGAACACAAAGTTAATTTTGTTTTTCTTTATCTTTTTTTAAATACTTTACATAGATCTTAGTAGTAACTAATATTATTTTATTTATAATTTATATTTATTAGGTTTTATTATGTCCTATTTTTTAGATCTTATTATTCTTATTTGTCATATATCAAATTTTATCTTAATAAAATAATTATATTTTAAAAGATTAAAAATAATTGATAATTTAAACTTTTATTACTTCAAACTAATTAAATAAGAATTAACTTATTAAATATTTTCTTATAAATTATATATTTCATATTTTTAAATGATAACTTGAAAATGAATTAACTTATACATGTAATCAAATGTTTGAATACAATATAATAATAATAATAATAATAATAATAATAATAATAATAATAATAATAATAATATTATTATTATTATTATTATAAATATTTTATATCTCGTATAAAGAAAAAAGATTAAATATTTCTTTTATATACATATTTTATATATATATATATATATATATAATAAATTAATATATATTTAATTAATAATAATTACAAATTGTAAAATTATAAATATTTATTTATGTATAAAAAATACATAAAATTAATAAAATTAATTTATTATAAATATAGTTTTTTTTTTAAATAACATAAATCGAGGAACGAGACAGGGAAAACTCAAAATCTAACTGGGACGGGAACTTAATTTCTAACCTAGTGGGAATCAGGGAGGGAAAAGTTAAAAAAGTCGGAGATGGGAATCAGGAGGCAAAACCCGCCCTGTTGCCATACCTAGTTTTCTCTCCCTCCTCAAAGAACCAAAAAGTATAATACTTTACTACTTATCTCTTCACTAAATATCTAAAGAAGACTTTCCTACATATCTAGTTGGGAGGGTTCATAGGAATATTCAAGAATGCATATCTAATTTTTTTTTTAAGGTTGAAAAAATAACAACATTTGAAGAAATTCAACAGATGAGTTCCAAGATTGCAGTATGACCAATTACTTCAAACAGTGACCAAGGAGATCGATTAAGTATCAAATTGCTTAGTAGTGTTCACAAATGCTCTTAGTAAGTAAGGGAGGATGAGTTTTATGAAATATTTTTCTATTATTTGTTTTTTGGGGTACAGAATTAGTGCATTAATTTGCTCTTTTTTTTCGAACATACTAAAACACTACTTCTATTTTAAAATTTAATATATTTTTTAATTGGTTGATAAAATAAAAATTAACATTAAACTTGAAACATTATATTTGCGTATAATAAATTATTGAAGTTTGATTTCTAATTTTTAATTGAAATCAAACCGTGCGATTTAAGGAAATATTCATCCAAAAAATAATCATTGGTTTTTGATTTTTTAATAATTTACAACTATGTTTTTAATTAGATTAACGTGAGACATTATATATAAGTAACACTGATACAAGACACTATATATATATATATATATATATATATATATATATATATATATATATATATATATATATTGGATGTTTTTAAGTCTTTTATTCATATATTCAAAATTCAATTAAAGTTTGCTTATTTCAATAATGTTTAATTAAAATCTAGATTTTATAAAGAAACAAAATGCCAATAAGATATATTTTCTCATACTATTTTAAATATATTCTATTGACGAGGAAAAATTACTGGAAATTACAATATCATACATTTTCTTTTTAATTTGAGTTTCATTTGTGATTTTTTAGTTTTAAAAAATAAAGTTGCTATTTTTAATATATTAATATAGAAATTAAAAAACTGTAAATATGTACATTATTTATCACACACATATATATATATATAGTCATATCTAACTTATTATGTTGATTATATTGTGGGAAAAAGATCGAATCCTTTCTTAGTAGAGTGGACAGTTTAAACTCTTTAAACATGCAATGACCTAGACGCATACAAGAACAAATTGTATATCCAGTAAACTTATGGAGTACAAATCAAATAAATGCCTACATGACATAATCGATCAAATGCTCAGTCACATAATGTTGAATGAATGAATCTAACACAAACTATCGTTCATAATTAGTATCGCACAATACTGGATTTTTGTGATTGAATAGTTAGTTCATCGTGTAGTACAAACCGCCCTGTCAAGGGTGTTCCGATGAATTAGTGGGGGGAGGTGTAGAAGGCGGTGTTTAGGATTCAGGTTCAGAAACAATATTTTTTTTCTTTTGTCGAACTCACATGCAGAAGTTGTATCACGTGAGTTTATAAAACTTGTAGGTTTGTTATGCTTTATTTTGATCATCATAAAAGTTAATTGGGCTGGCAACTATACAACTTAATTTCAACTTTTGAAATTTGGGATTCACTTCCTCTTCTCAACTTTTGTTTAAATCCAAATTGATTTTACTGAGTGATGTCGAGGCATAAATATTCAAGGCATGGCTCATTAACTTATTTCACTTCTACGTTATAATAATAACCATAGTCAAAAAAGTAAAACAAGAGATAAGTTTGTCTGTAATTACCAAAATAAACTTCCATAACATAACAAACTAAAATATCAAACCAAATTCATCCAACTTGGTCATTGAGATATAAAAAAGCACTACATTACTCTTTAGAACAAAAATTTGACAATCTCAGAAACTCTAGTGTCAATTGAGAATATGTTCTGAACAAAGCTGAATAGACTACACCAATTAATCAAAAAGACTGAAACCCATATCCTGCATGACAAAAATCGACGGATAAGCAATCAGAAAAATCAGATTACCAAATTCATAACTGCTTGAAATTTGGGCTCCAACTAAGCTAGATATTATACAAATCGTTGATTTTGACTTCATAAAAAATAAATATTATACAAAGATACTGCATAGTTCATGCGAGTTATCTTGACACTTCTATGTTTAGAGTGCATAGATACAATTTCTTATGTTGTTTTACCTATTGCTTCGCTATTCACCTAATTCATGTTTTCACTAAACTCTAACGTAGATTAACGAGATACATGTATCTAAGCTTAATCTTTTGCTATAATCTAGAAGCCCAACCAGCAAGAAATTCAGAACCATTAGAGGATTGCTAATACAGAATCTGAAAGTGAATTATAATAGACTCACCAACCAAAAGTTTAAAACCATTAACAATGCATCACAATTAGGATACGTAAAGATGAATGAAGCAGCAGGGGTATAAAAACACTTACATCATCTGATTCCTCTTTCTCTTCCACTTTTTCCTCTTTCTTTGCCTCGGCGGCAGGAGCAGCAGCACCACCTCCCCCAGGTGCTGCGGCTACAGCAACAGCGCCACCACCACCACCAGAGGGAACTGAGGCCAACTTTTCCCTACCGGCAGCAATAACCTCAACTATATCCTTTCCCTTGATTTCAGACAAAAATAGTTCTATCCTATCTTCATCTGCTTCTGCTCCAACTGCAAAGTAAAGAAAACACAAAAATGGACCATTTCTCAGTTTCAAGAACCTCTCCACAATAACCAATAAATACACAAATGAATCAAAGAAAGCCCATCGACTAATTTTTGTACTAATAAAAAAATTCAAATGGGGCAAAAACTTTCTCAATAACAATGCAAATACAGAATTTAATAAAAATAAATCTTTTTGACTAATTTTTGTTCTAATGAAAAAACAAAAATGAAGCAACAAATCTCAACATGAAGGAAATTATAAAAATTCCAGTCATAATGAAACCTAATTAATTTGCACAGGTCGTTAAATTCAACCGATTAAAAAATTGAAATAAATAAGAGATTGAAAAGAAGAATGCAGCGCACCAGAACCGAGAATATCCTTGATGACAGCGGCTGAGGGGCTGGAGTTGCCTCCGAGGACGGCGAGTAAATACGCGGCGACCACCTTCATCTTTCTGGAAAATTACACTGTATGTAACACTCGCAAAAAATGTAACCACACAAAATTAGAAAAGGAGAAGAAAACCTGAGAGATTGACAGGGTGAAGATGAGCAGGAGCAGAGAGTAAACGGCGATTTTGAAGGGTTATGCTTTAAGTTATGGTGATGTATTTGAAGTAGTGAGTTGAGATACTGCTAGGGTTTTGTTTTGCAGAATGAAACCAACCGTTCCTGGGCTTTGTTACCCACACCCGTTTTAGGCCCATTTCTCAGCAAGTACGGGCCTCTGTATCTGACTTAGGCTTTTCCAATATACTAAGTTCTATTTACATTTTCTTTTCTTTATTTTGACGGTTACGATAGAAAAAAAAATACCTACTTTTTATCTAAAAGAAAATTATAAGTTTTTTTTTGTTAGAATAAAAAGTAGACTTTTGCCTAAAATAAAATAATAATTTTTTATCAATTGTTACTATAAAAAATAATGCCATTTTATCTAAAATAAAATTATAAGATTATTTTACAATAATATATAGTATTTTTTATAATTTATCAAAATAAGTAATTTTAAAATTACACATTTGGATAAGTTATGAAACAACTGTAAAATAAATAAAAAATTTCATTTTAACTTTAATTTTTTAATTTTGAATTACAACTTTTATTTCTTTAGTTTATATAGAAATTATATTTCATAATAATAAATAAATATAATAATTAATATTATATTAATAATATAAAAATAATAATTATTATTAATTTTATTATGAATTAAAATATAAATAATAATATTAATGTTAATAATAAATATTAAAAATAATAAAATATTATTATATTAATTAATAATAATAAATTATTAAAAATAAATAATACTTATAATAACAATTTTTTATTATCAATATAATTATTATTATTATTATTATTTTAAATATTATTTTGTTATTAATTACAATATTATTATTATTATTATAAATAATAATAATAATAATAATAATAATAATAATAATAATAAAATAATAGTATAACAATTATAAAGTTAATAATTATTATTAATTATATAAATAACATAACATAATTATTATTAATTATATAAATTATATAACATAATTATTATTTATTTTATTAAAAATTATAATAATAATAATAATAATAATAATAATTGTTATTAAATATATTAATAATATAAAAATATTATTATTTTATTTATTTATTTATTATTATTATTATATTTTATTTATTTATTATTATTATAATAATACCTTTTTATATAAAAAAAAGATTCTAAACCAATAAGGGACCTTTTTAATATTTATTCATTTTATAAATTATTCGTAACAAAATCAAATTATAAAACTGGACCTTTTCTTTACTCTTCGCTTTGGTTGTTCCAAATTTATTTGTATTTTTGTTATTAAAGGTACGCAAATTTCACTTTTGAATTTGTTTCATTGCAATTGATTAACTTTATCTAATCATATAAATTTTTCATTAAATTTGGGATATTATAGAAAAATAATTATATATTATAAAAACATAAATGTTCAAGGGTCTGTCTATCCATATTTTTAAAAAATAATTATTTATAAATACTATCATAACAAAAAATTCATTTTTTAAATATTTTTTTTCATTCTCATATTTTTACTATTTTTTAAATATATAGATTATAATTATTATTTTTATTTAAATTATAATATTTTTATTTTTTTAAATAATACTAAAAAATAATTATAAAAGGATTTTTATAGATTTTTCTATATAGTATATTTTAGAAAAGTTTCAAAAATAACTTTTCGAACGATTTTAATAAATAAAATCTGAGACGGTTTGTTTGTAAAAACAGTTTTATTTTCTAATTTTTAAAAATAGTTTAAGCAATCAATTTGAAATATTATTTGTCAAAATTGCCTCTTTTACATTAATATTCTGATTTTATTTTTAAAAGATCATAAAAATCTCAAATTTCCTTATAATTTTAAGTTACTACTAGAAAAATGGTTAATAGTGACCGAAATTAGTGATCGAAAAATTCAGTCATCGATAGTAATCGAATTAGTGACTCGATTTTCCTTTTTATATTTAGTGACTCGATTTAGTTACTAAAATTTCAATCACGAAATCGGTCATCGATTCGGTCACCAAATCGGTCATTAATTCGGTCACCAAATCGGTCACTAATTCGGTCACTCGAATTGGTCACTGATTCGGTCACAACTAAAAAAATGTTAATAGTGACCGAAATTAGTGATCGAAACATTCAGATCACTAATAATAACTGAATCAGTGATTGATTTTCCTTTTTATATTTAGTGACTGATTTAATGACTAAAATTTCAGTCATGGAACAAATAATCTCTAAATTAGTAAGTATTTTTCATTTATATAAATATTTATTAAAAATATTTTAATAATATATTAAATATAAATATACTTAATAACATTATAAATATTTTAAAAAATATTTTAATAACTTATTAGACATATTAAATAATTTAGTAATATAATTATTGAATTTTACTTTTTAATTTAACATGTAAATAAAATAAAATAAAATTGATTATTAAATTAGTGATCACCTATTCTATATTAAATTAATTATTTATTTACTCTTTTATATATATATATATATATATATATATATTATTTGTATGTTAATAAAAATGTTTTTTAATATATTTATGAAAAATTAAAATTATTTTAATTACTGAATTGACATTTCAAATTTATATTAATATCACATCACTTTTAATTCACCAATTAATCAACCTCTCATATAGTTTCACTAGGAGTAGTGAGTTTAGATACACGTTATACATAAATTTCTTGTGCAATTAAGGATTCATTTTTATGTGATTTTACAACATGCAATATAATCACCAACAAGATAGGAAAAAACCAGTGAGAAACAAATGCAATACCATTATTTTTGAAACTTACTAACTCTTTTATGAATATTTATGAAAATATTTTACCTAAATGTTTCTAAAGTCAACCTAGTCATAGGGTTTTAATAGTTTATACAATCTACTTGTTATCGTAAAGTAAATTATACTCTACTATGTCCTTTTGTAATTATATACATATTACTCCAAAGTTTGAATATGTTACTGTGATATGTGGACTGTGTTGAATTGATTTGTACATGGACAAAGTTTTGACTTGCACTATAATGTCTGGATTGTTAAGGACCCTGGTCCTAAGGCTTATGTTAGTTTTCTGCTGTTAAAAACATCCCTCATAGTTTAAAAATTTACATGTCATTCTCATACCCTAAAAGAAAGACCTTGTACTTGTGACAATTATACCTGCTCATTTGAACTTTTGTATTTATTTGTGTTATTTTTTTATTATATAGATTATTTTGCTTACTTCAAAACTTCTTCAAAACTTCACTAACAGTTTTTAAGTGATTTTTTCATCTTATTATGATTATTTATTATTATTTATGGGATTGTTATTTATACAGATTCTAATTATTATCCATTTCTTTTTAATACAGTTGTCAAGTTCGTGCGGGTTGTAAAGATCTTCAAGCATCTTTAGTGTTTCAACTTCTTGTGTTTCTAATTGTAATTTTGCTACTATTGTCAATATAGTTTTCTATATTTTTGTATATAATGGTTGATGGTTTCATTTTGATGAATATTTGTACTTTAATTTTGATGAATATTTGTAATATTATTTTGATGATTATTTCAAATTGTGGTATTCTAATAAATTTTATATAACATAGGTTATATATTTCTTAAGTTAGGTTTATCATTATCTTAAAAGTTGTATATAATAAAATAAAAATAAAAATTAGTGATCAATATAAAGATAAATTTTATATTTTCAATTTAGTCATTGAATCGATCACTAAAATTAGCGACTAAAGAAAGTGTGGTCAAGTCACTATTTTGGACATTCTTTTTATTAGTGATTGATTTTAGTTATTTAGTAATTAAATTTTCAGTCATTATTTACGATTTTTTTAGTAAAATCGGTCACTAAATCGATCACTGATTCGGTCACTGATTCGGTCATTGATTCGGTCATCGATTTGGTCACTGAATCGGTCACTGATTCGGTCACTGATTCGGTCACTGAATCGGTCACTGAATCGGTCACTGATTCGGTCACTGAATCGATCATCTGAAATAGTCACCAAGGAAATAGTGACCGATTCAAGTTGGTCACTATTTCAGTCACTATTTTAGTTAGTGACCGATTTTGATTATTTAGTGACCGAATTTTCGGTCACTATTTGATATTTTTCTTGTAGTGAGTCTTTTACTTCCAAATAAGTTATATTGAATTAGATTATAAATATTGTAAAGAGAATGATTTATCTTTATTATTTTTAGGTCGGTAAAAAATACAAGAAATAAGAAGCAAAAATAAAACAAAATTAAAAATAATTAGAGATAATTTTAAAAATAATTTGTGTGAGATAATTTTTTGAAACTTTTCCAAAAGTTACTTTTAAAATAGCAAAAACAATAACATATATATTTAAATTTTCTGTACAATAAAAATTTGATAAAAATATTTTCTACGAATAACTAAACTTTTAATAAATTGTAATTAAACAAAAATAATGTAAAATATGTGTAGCATTAATAATAAAAAAACCCAAAAAAATGGAAGAAAGAATTATCGGACAATGAGGACTTTTATACTAAAATAATATTATTATATTATATATACGTAATAGAATCTGATAAAATTATTTACTTAACTGAACATTTCATAAAATTATTTACTTAACTAAACCTCTTTTACTGTTGTACTTAGAATTAGATTTTCCATAAACTGAATTCCATCTTTAAACTTACCACTTTTTTTAAAATAAAAAAATTAAATAAAATATATAATTAAAAATAATAAAATTAATATTAAAAATAAAATTTTAATTTTAAATTTTAAATAATATTTATATAAAAAATAATAAAAATAATATATTATTTAAATATATATTAAATTATTTAAATATATTTAAATAATTATTAAAAATATTAAATAATAATTTTTTATTATATTTTATTATATTTTTTTTATTTTTGAATAGGAAATTTAAATTTTTTTTATTATATGAATTATTTAAGTTATAATTTTAGAAAAAAATAGAATAAATAAAAATTTAATTTAGGTAATATATTAAAAATTTAAATATTATATTATAAAAATTTATGTAATAGTTTTTATTTGATAAATTATAAATATTATATTAAAAAATTCATGCTAAAATTAATTTTTTTAAATAATAAAGTAAAAATATTATTTA